CTGGGTGGCTGCTGCTGCTGCTACTGCTGCTTGGAGCCAGGCGTTGGTTTCGCTACCACAACCATGATAATAATTTTCTGTAGACCCAATGATTCCCTAGTAAAACCAGTTATAATAAGAAGGCATTTTTAAATATTCCGCGGTTATCATTATTGTTTACATTATTTTGATTGTTGCTGCATAATCCATCTTCAAGTAGGTTCCAACACCTTTCGGTAAGGAGCTGAGTCTAGGCTCTTCCGTATCTAATACCCAGCATATTGTTTTGCAAATGGTTGTGCTCAGTAAGTGATTTGATGCTGCTGCTGTTCTTCATAATGGCCATTTTAAATGCACCATCATGGAAACATGACCTTGCTCAAGATTCTGAAAGTTCAGTGTACACTTAAATGTCCTGGGGTTTATTTCTGGACCTGCAATTTATTGTCTGTGAGACCTTGGGCAAGTTACTAAATTTTTCTTTGTTTCAGTTATCTCATTTTAAGAATGAGGCTAATGACAGTGTCTAAATCTGCTGGTTGTTGTGAATATTCAATGAATATAAAGAGAATTAAAACATAAGTATTGTTATTATTTTCATTTTGGTTGGTAGGAGCATAACTTATTTTTAGATTGGTGTTTAAGTATAAAGGAGATACAGTTTATCAGCAGGCATTCACACTTTAGAAGAAAGAGCCTCTTCAATGCTGCAGTACCTTCTAACCACCCTGGGACATCTGAGGCTCTTACAAGCAATTTAAAATAGAACATGTTCCTTCTGAAGTGAGAGCACTCTTTTGTAAAAAAGGAAAGATAATGCAGGAAATGTTCCCTAACCAGATACTGAATAAATCTCCCATCGTAAGTATGAAGAAGAGAAGATGTAACCAAAATATAAATTAACTATTGGCTGTCCTCTGACTGCATGCTTTGTAAAGAGTAGGTGAGCCTACTTTTGAATTATATGATTATACTTATTTAAGATAGATTTATAGAAGTTGAAGGAGTGGTATAGTACAAGATTGCTTTTCTAATTTTATGTTTTCTTGAACCTCTAAAGCAAATAGGGCTAGAATAAGCCATACTGGAAAGTCGGTGGGCCTGGGTATAGGAAAATGATACTCAGTTCAAAACCAACCAAGCTGGCCTTATTAACAGCAGGGTGTTAATTTTCTAGGGCCTGTGGAGATTTGAGAGCACTAAATTGTTCCTTTATCCCTGTATAAAATTGATTACATGGCCTTGGGCAAGTTACTTAACCCTCAGAGCCAAGTTTTCTCATCTGCATAGTGTAGATCTCATAAATGTGTTTGTGAGAGTTAATAAGATAAATTATATAGCATACCTACCTCTATGCCTGGTACATAATAGGTTCTCCACAAATTAGTTTCTTTTCTCTTTCCAGAGAGGCAAAGCACACAAAATTCTATGCAATAATACTTTCCTTTATAAACATATTAGAAGTTTCTGGGCTTGTCTTTCAAGTCCAGGTACATTTGGGCAGAACAGACATATCCAAGGTAGGTTATACAAACATTGGAAAGAAAAAAGGTTTTAGGGTTTCAGACACTGAGATAACTCAATTGCATGATTAGGAGAAAGGAGGAAGGTCTATAATTCAAAGCCATACTGTGGTTAATTCATAATTTTATGTGGTTAACTCTGCCCATGTCTGTTGCAGTATATGTGCCTACCGCACCATTCATCCGTCAGTCCATCCTGGTAGAGGCACCAACATTAGGCCCTAAGAAAATATGAGAAGAATTAGATAAACATTGTTCTTGTCCTCAAGATGTTTTCAGGGCCATTGGCTTGAGAGTTAGGAAGGAAGAAGGAACTGAAATGAAGCTAGCACTTCCTGTGTGTCAGGCCCTGTGCTTTTATTATCTCATATAGAGATGAAACATAATCAGAGGAAATATTAAGATAGGTAGTACATATAATCATACTTTAGGGTCTCAGCGAAAATAGAATTAATGGTGAGTTGGAATGGTCTGAGAAAGCTTTGGAACCTTCCAGACCTTTACGGGCTTGAGTTTATAAGAAACGGCATAGTGCAGACTCTGGATTTTGTAAGAATAAACTTCCATGGATTTAATGATACGGTGTATAATCTGCCACTCTGGTGATATCATCTTGTTCCGGTAAAGAGCAATGACATTTCTATAAAAGATGATTTAGAATAAGAGTAAAGGTACTCCAGAAAGATTATTCAGAGCAGCTGAGTATAATTATTGTGAGGTGTTCATCAGATAAAGTTAAAAAGAAGACACAAGTAGCCTACTCTTTAAAAAAAATGAGAAGGATAGAAAGAAGATACTAGGAAAAGATGAAACAGAATTCAGTGTGCTTAGTGCCATTTCCCTAAAGATGACATAGGTTTGTATTTCATAATGCTTCTTT